ACAGCAGGCGCCAGGCCCCGCGGCGGGACTCGCCGGCACTGCTGCTCCGGTTGCTCGGGACGTTCCCGGGTTGAGGTCGCGTCCGTTTCTTCCCTATGGCTCGGAGGAAGCTGCGTCAGGACGGTGGCTGGGAACGTGTTAGGGACCCTCGGGAGTCCCTGGGTAGCCGTCCTCCATTGAGTGTGTTCCCGCTCCGGAGACGGGCGATTAGAATCCGGCCACGGGTTTCTACCCGACAGCCGCTAGTCTCGAGGTGCTGGAGACGGCGGGAGTGGGGAGGGGCTCCTACTGCCATTGCAGGGGCACAGGATGCCGCCTGGGAGATGGCGGGCCGAGCTGAGCTGGGGGCACAGTGAGGGTCTCTCGCCCTCCCTGGGCGGTCCTGGGCCCCACGTGATAGGATGCCCACCCACGTTGCAGGGGGCGGTGGAGCCCATGCAGATCGATGTGGACCCCCAGGAGGACCCACAGAATGCACCTGATGTCAACTATGTGGTGGAGAACCCCACTCTGGTAGGAGCCTGTAGGGCCCTCTGGGGCCTAGGGGGTGGGGCTTGGGCTGGTGGAGAACCCCACTCTGGTAGGAGCCTGTAGGGAGGGCCCTCTGGGGCCTAGGGGGTGGGGCTTGGGTGTCATCCACTCTGGTCGTCTTTCGCCCAGAAACCTATAGGGTTTCTAATCACCCATATGTGATGGTTGTTAGCACAGCTGGGGACCCTGCACCCCACTCCTCCCAACCAAGAAGGGCCCGTGTGCTGGGGGCCCTGCAGGTTGCCTTCCGGTCAGGCTAGGTCTTCCTCGGGACTCAGATTATGAAGCAGTGTCCTTGCCCACCAGCCTGGTGGCGCAGTCACCAGCCGTGCCCACCGGGCCCTGGCCATTCGCACCCCTCCTCCTGGGTGTAGCGCCACCCAGAGGCCTGTACTGGCTGCCATTGTGGCCTCTCTGGTGCCCACATGCCCATTCATTCCCATCAGGGGCCAGGGCTTCCCAGAAACTGCTCCCAACTTCCTAGCTGGAGCTGGGGCTGGGGTCTGGGGTCCCGCCTTGCACAGTGTCCCCCCCAGGACCTGGAGCAGTACGCCGCCAGCTACAGCGGTCTGATGCGCATCGAGCGCCTGCAGTTCATCGCTGACCACTGCCCCCCGCTGCGGGTGGAGGCCCTGAAGATGGCCCTGTCCTTCGTGCAGAGGACCTTCAACGTGGACGTGTATGAGGACATACACCGGAAGCTCTCGGAGGCCACCAGGTGAGGCAGGGCCGGGTACGGCGTGTCCCCATTGGGTCCAGCCCGGGCAGGGGCCCTTCCTGCCTGCGCTCTAGCACCTGGCCCTGGCCCTGTGCGGGCACTTATAGCAGTGCTCCCTCGGCACGGTGACCTGCTGCTGGCCTGGTGGTGCCTTATTGAAAAGCCAGCCAGGGGGTACATGAGCCGGGTACCCCCTCTCCAGTGGGGAGAGGTCAGGCTCTGGGTGGTCCCAGCTTCTCTGCACGCGTGTGCTCATCCTGACGCCGAGCAGAGCTCACGCACACGGTAACTTGCTTCTCTTTGGCTGCGTGCGGCGCCCTTTCCCCATTGGGCTGTTCCGCAGGCTCCCCCAGAGCCCACCCAACTGGGTCCTCCTGCAGGGAGCTGCAGAACGCGCCGGACGCCATCCCTGAGAGTGGCGTGGAGCCCCCGCCGCTGGACACAGCCTGGGTGGAGGCCACGCGGAAGAAGGCCCTGCTGAAGCTGGAGAAGCTGGACACCGACCTCAAGAACTACAAGGGCAACTCCATTAAAGAGAGCATCAGGTATGCGCGCCGGGCGGGGACCGGGGTGCGGGGGTGCGTGCCAGTCTGGGCTCACGGCCCTGTCCGCAGGCGCGGCCACGACGACCTGGGTGATCACTACCTCGACTGCGGGGACCTCAGCAATGCCCTCAAGTGCTACTCCCGGGCCCGGGACTACTGTACCAGCGCCAAGCACGTCATCAACATGTGCCTCAACGTCATCAAGGTGGCCCTGTGGTGGGTGGCTGGGGGTGCGGGGCAGCATGCCCTGAGCCGGGGGCACCGCAGGCTGAGTCGGCCCCTGCTGCTGCCCGTCAGGTCAGCGTCTACTTGCAAAACTGGTCTCACGTGCTCAGCTATGTCAGCAAGGCCGAGTCCACCCCGGAGATCGCCGAGGTAACGCGCCCCCAGGAGCCCTGACCACTGCTGGCCTGGTGCACCTCATCCTCCTCGGGCTGGGCTGGGGTTCCGGGCAGGGGAATCAGCGAGGCTGTGGGGCGCTGGTTGCTCACATGCACCATCTTCCCCTGCAGCAGCGTGGGGAGCGGGACAGCCAGACCCAGGCCATCCTCACCAAGCTCAAGTGTGCTGCAGGTGAGGACCCGGGTCTGGGGTGGGAGAGCACACACCTGACCCCGGTCTGCTTGCACTCTGCGCGGCCGTGTGGGCTACACCGCTGAGTCCTTACAGGCGGGTCCGACCCTCGAGCCCCACAGCCCCTGCGGGAGCTGCCGCCTGCCTGGCCCTGGGGTTAGGAGCAGGGCCGTGGCCTCTGGCAACTGCTGTCCGCAGTCCCCGCAGCAGTAACAGCAGCTCCATGTGGCCGTCCTGGGCGCCTGTCTGGAGGGCACCCTGTCGGTTGTCACTCTTGTCCCTCACCTCAGTAGCCAGAATTTCTGTCCGAGGCTGAGGAACACGTGGGGCAGGAGGCCTGGGGCGGTCGGACAGTCCCCCTGGCCTCACCCCCACCTCCCGCAGGGCTGGCCGAGCTGGCCGCACGCAAGTACAAGCAGGCGGCCAAGTGTTTCTTGCTCGCCTCCTTCGATCACTGCGACTTCCCCGAGGTGAGGGGCGCGAGTGCCCTTGCTGGAGTGGGGAGCAAGGGAGGGCTCTTCGTTGAGGGGTCCCAATGGGGTCCCCAGGGCTAAGTGGGCGGGGCGGGGACTGACACAGCAGGGGGCTTCCTCTCTGGCCTGGCTGTGGTGAGCCAGGTATTGGGACTCCGTCCCTTCTGTCCCTCAGCTGCTGTCCCCCAGCAACGTGGCTGTCTATGGCGGCCTGTGCGCCTTGGCCACCTTTGACCGGCAGGAGCTACAGCGCAACGTTATCTCCAGCTGATGAGTGCCAGTGGGTGCCAGTGGGTGCCAGTGGGTGCCAGGCCCGTCAGGGCGTGGGTGGGCAGCAGAGCAGCTCTGAGGAATCTGGTGCCTGCAGCTCCTTCAAGTTGTTCTTGGAGCTGGAGCCGCAGGTCCGGGACATCATCTTCAAGTTCTATGAGTCCAAGTATGCCTCGTGCCTGAAGATGCTGGACGAGATGAAGGTGCGGGCCAGTCCGGCTAGAGGGTGGGGGGCACCGGGCCTGGGGTGCGGCCCTGATCTGCTCTCCCCTCAGGACAACCTGCTCTTGGACATGTACCTGGCCCCGCACGTCAGGACCCTGTACACCCAGATCCGCAACCGTGCTCTCATCCAGGTCAGTGTGGGGCCACCAGGCCCAGGCAGGGCACCGCAGCTGCATCTGCAGGCCACGGGCAGCTGACTCCCCTCTGCCCTGCAGTATTTCAGCCCCTACGTGTCAGCTGACATGCGCAAGATGGCCACGGCCTTCAACACCACGGTGGCGGCACTGGAGGACGAGCTGACGCAGCTCATCCTGGAGGGGCTCATCAACGCCCGGATCGACTCCCACAGCAAGGTGGCCAGGCTCTGGCCAGGGTGGGGCCGCCAGGAGGGCCGTGCCCCACAGTGCCCCGCTGACCAGCCCCCCCCTCCCCCGCAGATCCTGTATGCCCGGGACGTGGACCAGCGCAGCACCACCTTCGAGAAGTCCCTGCTCATGGGCAAGGAGTTCCAGCGACGCGCCAAGGCCATGATCCTGCGGGCGGCCGTGCTGCGCAACCAGATCCACGTCAAGGTGGGCAGTGGCGGCGCGGGGGGCGGGCAGGCGCATGCGCACCCGCAGCTGACGGCTGTGTCTCCACCGCAGTCCCCGCCCCGGGAGGGGAGCCAGGGGGAGCTGACGCCTGCCAACAGCCAGTCCCGAATGAGCACCAACATGTAAGGGCACCGCCGGCCTCAAGACGTTCTGCATGCCCTGCCCGACCCTGGACCTGACCCCTGGGCCCGCCTGCTCGAGGCGCTTCCAGAGGTGCCACCTGTGGCCCACTCGGAGGGGCCTTGCCACTGGGTGCCAGCCCTCGCCCCCCTGCCCGGGCTTCCACGCGCCCCACTTCCCTGCCGGCCCCCTGCTGTGGGCCCAGGATGGTGAGCTGCCCCTTGCCCTTCCTGCAAAGAGAGGCCAACAGGGCTCACCCCAGTGGCACCCAGGGCCCCACCTGCCCGCCAGCACGGCCCCCCCGCCTCCCCGTTCCTGTATTACTTAGGGTCGCAGACCGGTTGTGAATCTTAGTCCATTAAAGGGCAGCCTGAGACACATCCCTTGCACTGCTCCTTCTGAGTGCCGGCTCCCTGGGGCAGGCTTTGGGGCAGGGCTTGGTCTTGGTCCCCTGGCTCACCCTCCCTCACATTCAAGTGGCCAGGCAGGGACACAGGGGAGGGAGTCGGCCCTAGCTGTCCCTCTGCGAGGCGGCCTCTCCTCTCAGGAGGTCTCAGACCAAAACGGGATCGAGGCAGGTTTGGGCTGGTCTCCACCGGCCAGACACCACCCTCTCAGCTCGCGGTCAGGGTCGAGGTCTCTGCATGCGTCTTTGACGTGGTTTATTGTTCGCGGTTGCGGTCGGACACACGCAAGTTGCGAGGACAGGGCAGGTCCAGCCTGGGAGCCTGCTCGCTGGCGCAGCACTCTGGGCCCCAGCGCGGGTCGGGGCGGGCCGTCAGCTCGTCTTTCCGCATGAAGTGGCGGGGACTCCCTGAGTCGAGGCGTTTCCTTACGAGGGACTCACTCTCCAGCAGCAGTCCTGGGCCCGGAGGGGCAGTGTGTCCGGCTCCCTCGCTCTTCAGGCCAAGGCACTGCCCACAACCTCAGGGAAGCCAGTGGGCTCCCTGGGCCCGGCCTGCTGAGGGTCCGGAAGCCGAGGCTGGGCCCCCTTCCAGGCCAGAGACTTCTCCAATTTGGTTTTAAAAAGCAGTCCGTGACCTGGCAGAGACGGCGGGAAAGGACGGGCTCAGGAGGCTGAGGGGCCCCGCTGGTGGGGGCCGGGGGAGGGGCGAGGGCGGTGAGGCCGCTCACCTGGGCAGTCCGCAGTCTCCTGGGAAGCCTGCTTCTTGCAGCAGCCCCGGCACAGGTTGAACACGCACCTGTTGCCCTGGACACAGGAAAGCTCGTGAGCCTGTGCAGCGCACAGCAGGGGCTGCACCCCAGGCCAAGGCCTCCCCCAGACTCCCAGGGGCTGTCCTAAGGCCGGACCCAGCGCCCGGGGCCAGCCCCGCCCGCCGCCCCCTGGAATTGAGCTCTGCCCTGGGCAGAAGAACAGACTCACCTTTGGGTTTCCACACTGGTCGCACTTTGCATATTTTGCTGGGAAAAGAGCACAGGGAGATCCTAGCTGGAGACGGGGCCCCTTCCGCTTCTGCCTCCTCCGTGAAGCCCCTGGTGGGTGTCCCCGCTCACAGCGGCCAGCAAATCCAGGCAGCTCGGCGGCGCACACAGCAGGCTGTCTGGACGGGGCACTGTCGGGGCCCTCCTCCCACCCCAATGGCTCAAAGGCTCTGCGCCCACCGCCGCGTCTCCCACTCTGGCCCCTCCGGCTGTCAGGGCTGCTGGCAGCCTCCTCGGGGTGTGGGAGGGTCAGGACCCTTCCCAGAGAGCCACCTGCCCTGGGCCGGCAGCGGGAGCAGCTTACGTTTCAGCGAGGGGTCGAAGGTCTTATGGGGGTTCCTCAGCTGCTTCTTCTGCTTGTTCTTAGACAGGACGTCCACGCTGCCCTCCTCCTCCTCCAGGGCCCGCTTGCTGCGGGCAGCCCCGTTCTCCCTACTGCCCTCCTTGGGCCTGAAAGGGAACGGCAGTGGGCAGAGCTGGGGACACCTAGGAGCTGTGGTTCCAGGGCCTGAGCCTCAGCTAAGGCTGTGGCCACGGATGCCAGCCTGGCCTCGCCTCTCAGAGCCCGGGGGTCGACCTCTTCACCCCAAGACAAATCCACCCGGGATGAGAGAAAAGGCAAGAAAAGATGTAAAACCTAAGTGTCCACAGACAGGGGAGACCAGCTGGGCCCCTGGAGGGATGGGCTAGTGGGCAGCCTCTCCCCTGCCCTCCGTGCCCCCTGGCCCCCAGGCCGTGTCTGTGGGAACTCACCCTGGCCGGAAGTAGGGCTGGCAGATCCAGTGGAAGAATGGCAAGCCGCCTGCAGGCTTCTCCCCCTCCTTCTGCCTGGACATGTCCTCCTGCAAAAGCCCAGAAGGCTCCTGGTCACCAGCCAAGCTCTCCCATTCCACCCTGGCTCATACGGCCAGCCCTGCACATGCCTGACACCGAAGTTTCAGCTCCTGGCTCACCGCGGCGATGCCCTCCAGGGTCTTCACTTTGGCAAGCTCCTCTCGAAGCTGCTGGTGCACCTGCAGCCTGAGACAGCCACCCCATCACGGCACCCACTGCCCAGCGCCCCGCTGACCCCCGAGCCGCGGGCAGAGGGCACCGCCTCCTTCCTGCCCTGGCTCCCAGCCTGACCTCACCGGTCACCCCAGCCCTCCCAGACCTGACGAGTGGCAAACTATTTCGGTGAATGTTTGCAGAGAGCTCCCTCTTAAAGCCCCCAGTACCCCTCAGACCAGACGGCATCTGCCTTGTTGGGCAACTCACGTGTGGTGCCACAGCTTGAAGAGGTGGGCCCGGACGTAGGACAGGGGGCAGGGGTGCCGCTGCACGATGGCCAGGTACTCGTCGGCCAGTTCCCACACTGCGGGGCTGCGGCCCTCAAACAGGGCGGGATTGTGCAGGTTGCCTTCTGTAGGGGGAGGGGACTCGAGGCTATGGACACTCATGCCCCAGAGGAACACCCCACCCCTATACCACATCACATCAAGGGCAAGGCTAGCCACTGGCCGAGAGTTCGGGCCCATCGGGCAGACAGGCCTGAGTGAGGGCTCAGGTATCACAGCATGGACAGGCCCTCCAGCGCCTGCCCCCGGCCTCACCCACACTCACCCGCACTCACCCGCACTCATGACGCCCTGCACCCCTGTGTCCTGGATGCAGCGCTCCACGTCCCGCAAGCACTGGATGTTCCCGTTGGCAAACACGGGGATGGCCACTGCTTTCCTGCGAGGGGGCAGCATGGGCACACTCAGGAGTGGGGCACGGCCCCTGCTCCCTGGCTGGCGCCCAGGCCCCCAGGCGCTATCTCAGCAGCCGCCTCTCCCCCACTGCAGCCCAAAGGGCTGTCCCCACTGGGTTTCCTGCCCGTCCACTCACCGCACGGCCTTGATGTGCTCCCAGGACGCAGGGCCGGACAGCGGCCCCTTCTGCTCCTTGGTGCGCCCGTGCACGGTCAGCAGCTAGGACACAGCAGCACTGGCTCGGTCCCCAAACCAACCCCAGGGGACCCTCTCCCTCTGGCTTCTGGGCATCACCTTCCCATGCCCGCGGCCTGGCTCTGTCCTGCCCCACTGACCTAGTCCCCTGGTCTGCGTTTATACAAGCTAAGTGGGAAGGACGGACACCAAGCTGCCCCCAGGGCTAGTGGGGGGAAGGTGGCCGAGGCATCCCTGGCCCCAGCCCATACATGCCTCCCTTCTGAGAGTGAGCACAGGGCTCATCCGCCTTCCTCAGACCTTGCCTCAAGGTCCTCGTGGTTCCTGTCTGCCCGAGGGCAATGGCCGCCCTGGGCTCAGGGCCTGAAGGACACAGGGGCGGGGGGCAGCACAGGGCCCTCACCTGGCAGCCAGCCTTCTCCAGCATCCGGGCATACCTCACGGTTTTGTCGATGTCGGGGAAGACACGGATTTTGCATGTGACCGGGACAGAGAGTTTCTCGTGGGCCAGCAGAACTAGGGGAGACGCGGCTTCTGAGAGTCTGGGCGTTTGCCCCCAACGGGCTGTGGAGACCACGCCCTAAGCCCCCAAGGGAGCACAGGCCCCGCACAGCCAGCCCCCATTCGATGGCCGCTGAGCGATGCGCCTGTCCCCACCGCATGTGCAGCACGGGACAGGTGACTCCACAGCTGCCTTCCACAGCAGGGTGAGCGCAATGACTAGGAGGACTCTGCCGGCCGCTGTCCCCGCCTTTGCCCCGCCATCCACACCTGGCATGTGGCCCACTCACTCATTCTCTGGAGCAGGTCCCACTCCTCCTGTAGGAAGGCTCCATAGTGACCTGCGAAGGACACGCACGGTCTGCTGCAGCCCCTCCTGCGCGGGCTGCGCAATCATTGACAGAGCCCCGGGCTGGGGCCTCCCCGACCACCGGCCCCCACGGACTCCTCAGGAGGTGCATTTAGTGGGTGGGGCGCGGAGACCGTCACCGAGCAGTTCTCGGCGTCAGATGTGGCGTCTCCATTTGTCTGGCTGCCTGAGCTCGAGGGGGAGAAAGGCTGAGCCCCATGCGGGGGTGGGGACCACTAGCGCCAACGCAAGGATGTGACGCGACCTCCTTCCAGCAAAACCCGTTTATCCGGGGGAGCCCAGCGACTTCCCAGGCACGAGGGAGTGAGGGACCTCCGAGAGCCGGCATAACCCTGGACCCCCTCGGCCTCGCTCAGGGCCCTCCACCTGCAGCCTCTCCCTGGCCTGAAGCCGCTGCCGCACACGCACCGGACCTGGACTCACCTCGCTTGGCTATCATCTGTGGGCAGCCCAAATTCAGATCGATGGCGTCACAGTGATCCTGAGCTAGGAGAGCCGCCTGGACGAACACTTCTGGGTCGTTGGCACAGAACTGGAAGAGCCGCGACAGCTGCCATGAACCCCAGCCAGGCCCTGGTCCCTTGGCTGCTGGGCCCCACAAGAATTCACCTGTGACCTGGTGGGGGTGTGGTCCCAGAGGCTGGCTGTATGTATCCTGTCCTAAACACTTGCAAAACGACTAAGCTAAGACATGGCCTGCCATCACGAGGCACAGATGTCTCTTTATTGTGACGGAAAGCTGTCACTGACTCTCCTGGTTGCTCTGTCATGGGCCTGTGGCTGGCTCTTCCCCGGGGCCCAAGCTGTCCATCTGCCAGGTGTGAGCCAGCACCCAGGGGAGGGTCCCTTCTCTGGGGCTGTAGGTGCACCTCCCGCTTCCACGGCCCTCCCAGCTCCCAGTCAAGAAGCTGTTTCTGGAAGGGCTGAAGACCAGGTGCCCGCCCACCTGCACGATGAGGGGCCGGTCCTCCGGGCACACCTCGCAGTACAGGTTCTCCTTCCGGTAGTTGGCATCGCGCACGAAGACCTGGGCGTGCAGCATGGGCGTGTAGCAGAGCTGGGCCCCGTGGCGGCGGCTCAGCAGCCTCCAAGCCAGTTCGCTCTGGTCCACCATGGGGGCCACCACGTGCCGGGCGCCGCCCAGCGTGCGGCTCCAGAACTCGAAGCCCTCCAGCTTTGGCATCTCCACGCTGCAGGGGGAGGGTCAAGCTCAGATGCCACTCCAGTGCCACCCCACGGTCACAAGCGCCGACACTAAAGGTGTTGGCTGGTGCGGGCCAAGAACCGAAGCCCAGTGCCGCCACTTTGTAGCGGAGACCTTGGGCAAGTCACTCTACATCTGTGAGCCTTCACCTGTCGCTTATTGGCCTGACCCAGCCGTTTGCCTGGCAGGGCTGGTGTCGAGTAAACGAAACCGAGAAAGCAGTGTCCTAGTGGGCACCTGGCCGCACAGGCCACCACGAAAAGCCGTAAATACGAGGCCCAGGGACCCTCCAAGACAGGCCAAGCCTGTGGCAACATCACTGGAAATGTGCAACCAGGCCTGGCCTCCCCGCCCACCCTCCTCCGGCGTCAGGAGGGTCCTGGCCGGCCCGGAGGCCGTGATACCGAGGGTCCGGCACTGCCCGCCCACCTCCTTCCTGGGCGACGCGGTTCTCAGCCCTCGGCCAAGGCGCGAGGAGCAGCTCTCTTTGCCGCCGGCCGCCACCGAGGCCAGCCCGCCCGGAGGGACGCGCCCTCCGCCACCCGCGCGGCCCCGGCCGGCAGCAGAGGCCGCGTCGGACAGTCGGACGTCCCGCGCCGGCTGTGCGACGGTCGAGTAGGGACCTCACCCCAATAGCTCAGCTAAGTGCCCAGCTGCGTGTTCGCAAATTGTGAAATGACATGGAAAACTCGCCTAAGTGCCAA